TTTTTTTTAATTTTATTAAATGTTGAACAGCTTTTTAAATGCTCTTCTTTAATACAAAACACTGAATCTTCTTACCTTAAGCCTTTCAAAGAGCTGTTTGTGATGGCTACACAAGATGTCAGATCCAGATGTTTCAGCTTGGAACAGAATCTGCTAAGACTGTAACACGTGCTGCAAAACAGCAGACACACTAAAAATACCTTCAGCTACTTCTTTTTCCAAATTTTCCCATCAAACAAAAAACACTTTAACTTACTTGTCAGTGATTTTTGTGCACCCATTTAGATTTAAGTGTTCGATGTTTCTACAGTTCTGTGCAAAGGTCCTAAAACAGCAACAAAAAGCTGGAGTTAATATATAACTCGCAACTTGTAATACAGTCACTAGAGTGCGCTCATGTCCCCTACCGCCTTCCACCGCGGTCAAAAAGCTTAATCTTCAAGCCACGGAGTAACTACAAAGTACACCTCAAATACGTCTGCCTCTTGCTTTTCCCTTTTGTTAATACTAGTTTCTAACTTAGATAACTCCTGAAACTAAGTGTTGTCCATCTCTCAAATACCACTTGAGCAAGGTGTTTATTTCTGCTGTATATAAGCCAGAATTGATTTGCTTCAAATGCCTTAACTAAAAACATTAAGGGCATAAACAGAAAAGTTTAAATATCACATCAGTTAAATATTAAGCTGGTGGGAAGAGCTTTTGCACATCTCATTACTGAAGTCTTTGTAGGTCTTTGTAGGAGCTTGCTCCCACATCAAACGAAAAGGAATGTAACTTACACTCTGCTGAAGTGGGACCTAAGCCTACCAAACTACCAATGGAAAGCCCTGTGGATTGCAAATTATCCATGATTTTGAAAATTAAAATACATCTGTGTGCACTACTAGGTATGAACTATAAGGATGACTGGAGCTATTATACTGCTAAAAGCCTGTATGTATCATTACACTAATTACCTGGAAGAAACACACAAACTTTCTTTTCATCTCTGCAGAGTAATATTTACAGCTGTGTTGCATTTCAGAACACTGGTTTTATGCCCATGTTTCCTCCAACTGCATGGATTTTATTGGCAGAGGTGGAGGAAACACACAAACCCAGTTTTGTCTGGAGGCCTGCCGTGGTTAACAGATCCAGCTACGCACTCAGCTCGTGACAACCTCCTGGCTCTCCAGTGTGGATTGGAAACAATGGAAAAAAAAAACAGCAAGCAGTTATACTGGTGAGAGTTTCCACTCGAATTCTCAAAACAGCTATTCCAAAATTCATGTACCAAAGGGAGATTTACAATTGAGACACTCTTCACATCACTTGGAAAGATGCTACACTGGAGGAAGAGCAAACTTTGCTTCCGAGATTCAAGCATGGGGCATGTCCTGAGAGAGCTGTCACAACCAACCAGTATTTACATGGCCAATACCTACTTCCATGACTGGATATTTTTAAACAAAATTTGATGCAGAAGTAGGACAAAGAAAGAAATTAATATCACCCACAAAACTAATGGATCTGGAAACAACATGAGAAGGCTGATAGGAAAAGTTGCTTTTAGAACAAGTATCTGAAAATTAATACCACCTTGCTCCTGCTAATGTTTTGAAAGTCCTAAAGGTCATGCATTTATCATTCATTTGTTAACTTCAATATAACCTGCTTTTATTTCAGAGGTGAACCATCTTCTTTTCTTAAGTGCCTTAGACACCACCGCCTTCACCAGTTAGTTGTTATGGACACACGTGTGAATGCTGGTTAACACTCTGGTAACCAGTCTCAGCTAAGCCAGTCCTATTACCTGCTGGCATGACTAGCTCTACCATCCTGACGATGTACGCATGCTACGCACTGAACTGCTGTATGCTTATTCTAAGTATCTGTTCACTGAATACATCATTATTTTAAAATATCCCAGCTCCAGCCCTCCCCCTCTTCTCAAATGCCACTACTACATGAACCCACTTAGGGTACCTGGTCCTATTCACAATCCTCGCTTCAGTCTTCTAGCCTTAGTACCCTGAAAAGCACAATTAGGAGCCTAAACCTAATGTGAAAATGAAGTTACTGGGGGGAAAACTGTAACCTACTGTCCTAACTCTTTCCTCCTACACCCTTTTCATTGACTGACAGCCAGCATGGTTTCACTAAGGGGAAATCCTGCCTGACCAATTTGGTGGCCGTCTATGATGGGGCTACAGGACTGATGGACAGCGGCAGAGCAGTTCACGTCATCTACCTGGACTTGTGCAAAGCGTTCAACACTGTCCCACACGACATCCTTGTCTCTAAATTGGAGAGACACCAATTTGATGGATGGACCACTCAGTGGATAAAGAACTGGCTGGATGGCCCCACACAAAGAGTTGTGGTCAACGGTTCAATGTCCACTTGGAGACCAGTAATGAGTGGTGTCCCTCAGGGATTGGTGTTGGGACCTGTCTTGTTCAACATCTTTGTCAGCGACATGGACAGTGGGATTGATGCACTCTCAGCAAGTTTGCTGACACCAAGCTGTGCGGCTCGGTTGATACGCTGGAGGGAAGGGATGGGATCCAGAGGGACCTGGACACGCTTGTGAGGTGGCTGATGCCAACCTCATGAAGTTTAACCAAGCCAAGTGCAAGGTCCTACACCTGGGTCAGGGCAATCCCAGACACAGCTACAGGCTGGGTGGAGAAGAGATTCAGAGCAGCCTGAGGAGAAGGACTTGGGGTGTTGGTTGATGAGAAGCTTGGCATGGGCCGGTTTCAGTGTGTGCTTGAGCCCAGAAACCAACCGTATCCTGGGCTGCATCAAAAGCAGTGTGACCAGCAGGTCACAGGAGGGGATCCTGCCCCTCT